CAGGGAGGGGGCGGGGCCTGCGCGAACTCCAAGAAGGCTGCGCCTGCGTGCTACGGGAGGTGGGGGGGGGGGTTGTAGGGCGGGAGCGGGGTGGGGGAGCTGAGGGAGCGCTCCGGAAAATGCGCCTGCGTGCTACGGAAGGGGCGGGCTCCCTGCGAGGGGGCGGGGACCTGAGAGGGCTACCCTAAGACGCGCCTGCGTGCTGGGCGGGCGGGGCGTTCTCGAAGGAGACGGGTGCCCAGAGAGCGCCAAGGAGAGTGCGCCTGCGTGCTGCTGAGAGGCGGGCCGTCCTGGGTGGAGGTGACGTCCGGAACGGAAGACGTGCCCGCGTGCTACGGGTAGGGGCAGGGCCGCGCCGTCTAACCTTCGGGTGGGCTCGCTGACTGAGAGGCTGTGGGGGGCCGAGGGCGGGGAATCTCGTGCTCTCTGTCTCTTCCTGTGTTTTGGACCTGGCCAAACGAGATCTGTTTTGTAATGGCCACTGGAAGACATGAATACTAACTACGTACGAAGACTGGCAAAAACCAACGAGTTCTTCAATTCCGAATTAGAAAAACTGAGCCAAATCCTGAAAGAAAACTGTTAAAAAGTCGATGAAACGAATTATAGCGGGAAATAAGCTTATAGAATTCGTGACGTTAAAACCTGGAATCTAAACCGGGTGGTGGCGGCGCATCTTTAATCCCAGCACTTGGGAGGCAGAGGCAGGTGGATCTCTGTGAGTTCGAAGTCAGCCTGGTCTACAGAGTTCCTGGTCTACAGAGACTGGCTTCTTAGCTCCTGGGAAACTCTGTCTCAAAAAACAAAACCCCTGGAGTTTATGGCATTTAGGTAGGTTGGGGAGTGTTTCAACTATGCCTTGAGAAACAATGAATCATGAGTAAACAGGTTTGAAAACAAATTTGCAACCTCTTGAACACTAGCCATAGCTTAAGCCCACACAATTCTTCAGCACCACTGGGAAAGAAAATACTAGAGTAGGTAGACTGAGCTTCAGCATCAATGTAAACTTCATCACGAGAAACTGCACAAAACTAAAAACATCTTTAAAAAACATTCAACCTAGTTTTTACAGGGTCACTTTTGTTACTCAGAAGTTTATGTACATTTGCTTAGTCAATCATGTTTTTAATGCAGATGTTTTGCTTTTTTCCTTTGTCATATTCTGAACATTTCTCATGCTTTTACACTTTTTTTTACCTTTTTGACAGTTTAATATATGTATATGAATGAAAATGAGGACATGACCGCTCCTAGGTATGGTGGGGGAGAACGATTTTATTATAGATATGAGGAAGAACACAGCCAGAGGTATCTAGAAGGGTCCAGACTTCATCTAGGCATGACTGGGGGAGCAGGAAAAGCTAAAGAGGAAGAGAAGAGAGAGGGCAAGCAGACCAAAAAAGGAGCTGAGGACCAAGAGATCAAGATCAGCCAAGTGAGAAGAACCAAGAAAGCGAATGGCAAAATGGCTGAGGTATAGGAATCAGAAACTAGGTGAAGGAACCTCATGGGCTGGATTAGAAGTCCTGGGAGGAGACTTGTTCAGTATATAGCTTGTGTGTGTGTGTTTACTATAAGATCCTCAAATGTGAAGTTAACCAAGTTTGGTGGTGCTGGTCTTTAATCCCAGCACTGGAGAAACAGACACTGGTGGATTTCTGTGAGTTCAAGGCCAGCCTGATCTCCATAGCAAGTTCTATGCCAGCCAGAGCTACAAATAAGACCTTATCTCAAAAACAAAACAAATAAAACAAGTGTGGTTAGTACTACTAAGACAATCTAAGACATGATCCACCTATAAAAATTAAGAGGATAGTTCACAGTTTCATATCTTGACCCAGTGAAGGTAAACTTCATGAAATAGCCTCTCTCGTGCAAGATGATGAATAAGTTTACATGATTGCTGGTCTGAGTGTGAATCCTCCATAGTGTTAGGTTTCCATCACCCAGTGCTTTGGCAAAATGTCTAGCCACCCCAAACACTGACACTTCTGGGTTCCAGGGTCGTCCCTACCTCTCTTTCCCTCTCCCTCTTTCCCTTCTTTTTTCCCCCCCCCCCCCGCCTCAAATATCTGCCTGCTTCTGCCTCTCAAGTGCTGGAATTAAAGGTGTGGACCACCACCGACCGGCTCCTCCAAAGGATTCTTAAAAGTTAGGCAAACTATTAGTTCTGAGGCCAATTCAGGTTTCTGAACCTTCGATTTATGTTTATACTCTGTCCTACAACTTATGTGCTGATCAAGAAATGTATTCAATGCATCTCGCTAGTTCATTTCCCAACTGTGTTCCAATAGCTTCATCTTTTCCATAAAAAAAAAAAAGACAGGCATACCTTATACTCACTGAAATCATAAAAAAAAAAGATGAAGTGATGCATTACTCTGGAATGCAAGGACCCCATGAAACTTTGCCAGTTATTTGTGAATTGAAATTATTGAGCCAAATTGAGGAATTGTCTACTAACTGGATAGCAGATTATCTTGTTAAATGGCATCCAAGTAGTTGCTTTCAACAAGCTATGTTATAAAGCACTGGAAATAGGTATTCATACAACTTCTTAGAGAGGAAGGTCAGTCTGCCATACCACAACTAGGGAATACTGCCTCCTGCAAAACTTCACTTGGTGTTTTATTTTGCTTTAATTTTTGCTAGTATAGTATATGTAAAATGCTACTACCAAGTTTCTCAAGTATACCTGGTCATCCTTTTGATATTTTTTGTCTATATGATCTGTAATTGGTAGCATATTTCTTCTACTTTATCCTAAGAATTTTCAATTAGCAACTTTTGTTTGAGCCAGAAGCCTTAATGAAGCAATCTGCACAATATTGGTAAGCTTTGTTAACAAGGTGTGATTTGGGGATAGGACAGATGAATCAAAAATATCTCTAGTTCTTAGTAACTAGCTAGGCAACAGACCAATTTTGAAAAGCATGAAAGGAGATTACTTTCCTGGTTTTCCAAAAATTGATAGTTTGAAGACTTGAGGTAAGTCAGTGATATAGAACAGTTACCTGGCTTACATGAGACCCTGGCCCTTATTCACAGAGCTGGGGGAGAGGGAACAGAAAGGTGGGACTGGGTAAGAACTGGTTATGGGCTATTTCTAGGTATAAACAAATCAATGCACGCCAGGCATAGTGGAGCACGCCTTTAAACCTGGCACTTGAGAGGCAGAGGCAATCAAATCTCTGTGACTTCGAGCCCAGCCTTGTCTTCATAGTGAGTTCTAGGACATTCAGAGCTGCATAGTGAGAATCTGCCTCAAAATAAATAAATACATACATACATTCATACATACATACATACATAATGCAAAATATGTTTATAAACAACAGCGAGAGCCCACAATGCAAAGCTTCTAACCATCGCAGGCAAATCTGAGGAGATGATGGTGAAGCTGAACCTTAAATGACTGGCAGGAACAGACCCAGCTGCAAGGCAGGAGGAGAAGTCAAGAAACACAATTCTGAATACAGAGAGCAAAAGAGGCCCTGAGGTGGCCCCTTCTCTTTTTCTTCTTCCTCTCCATGCAGTGGTACCCCAAGCTACCTTCTGAAAGCACCAAAATCCTGACTCCCCTCCCTCAAGAATATCCTAATAGCCCATTTCTTCTCTCTACAGCTTCACCAAAGTTCCCATTCTCTTCATGCTGCTGATCTCGGGCAGTTTTTAGGAGTGCAATCTGATCAAAGAACTGATGAAGCCCATGTTACCTTAAAATTATAAAAATATGCAGGGCAGAATTCTTTTAGAAGTGGGAATTCTAGGTTCCCCTTTATGTTTTGGTTTTGTCTCTAAATCCCTGAATAATGTAAGACAGAACAGGTAGCAGGTTGGTCACCAGATTCTGATCATTTCTCTTGGCATTGACTCTGTGGTATGGTGCTAACACTTTCTCATTATGGTGGGGTAGACATCTTGTGTCATTATAAAATTATCTCTCGTTTGCTGTCTTACTGCCGGAGGTAATCACAGCCCCAACTCTAGCTCCCTAGGAGTAAACAGTGAGAAAGGATCTAAAAGGGCTTAAGAATCAGCTTCAACTTCAGACCAGCCTGGCCCAAGATTGTCCAGCCTTCCTGCCATATGATCTCAGGTTTCTTCGGAGGGCTGAAGATGCACTTGGTGACTGGGGATCTGTTCTAATGACTCTTTTTAGCTTAAAGGAGCTGCCTAGTGAAGTGGGGGAGTAGAGGTTGAGAGAGAGAGCCAGCCAGAGCCACTCCCAGATACGAGGCTGCTATCAGTATCAGACTCCTGCCAGCAGGCTGAGAACTGCAGGAAAAGATTTCTGGTTATCAGTGACCTTGACTGCAACTTGAGCCTCAGTCCTGCCTCCTACCAGGATCCCTGGCCATGACCATGACTGACTCTCCATGTCTATGTGAATGTCTAGCTCATCAACCATGGCTACTTCCAACCTTACCAGTAACTCCATAGCCTCGACTCTATTCTAGCTGGCAAGCTAGAAGCAGAAGTTGTCTAGTTTCAGCATCTGCTCATTAGATACCATTTGCTATGCAGTCTGACTGACCACATCTCTCACAGATACCTCATAATCACATTTCCGCTTGTTTTGCCAAATCCTCAAGAAGTGGAAACTCTGCCTCAGCTTCCTGCGGTAGAATTGACCTCTGCATTACTGCTTCCTGGAAATTCAGGCCCACTAGTTCTAAATGTGCCTTTTTAATAGTTTTATCTAATAAAACTAGTTAAAGTATGCCTTTTAAATAAATTCTAGAAATGATTCTTATGCCTGCTAAGTTTGAGGCCCAGGGCCTGTATAAGATCACTGCCCCTATTTTTCTAAAGAAGAGACATCACTTCTGGGAAACCCAGGCCCTTGATCGGTTGCTGTGGGTGTCAGCCATGATTCCTTCTTATTAAGTTAGTACCTGAAGAGAAGGAAAGAAAATTTAGGATACAAGAGCTCACTGTTCTGTCCTCAGAGACACAGGCTTTATGGTCAGTTGACTATACCACCAATATTGTGAGCTTGCCCACGAGTGAGCATGGTGGTTTGAATAAGAATGGCTCCTACTGGCGCATATATTTGAATGTTTAGTCACCAGGGAATGGGACTAGAATTTAAAAGGATTAGAAGGCCTGTGGCTCTCAACTACTTCTCCAGTACCATGCCTGCCACCACACTCCCCACCATTATGATAATAGACTAAGCTCTGAAACTGTAAGCAAACCCCTTCCCCCTTAAGCTCTTTCTCTTCTAAGAGTTGCCCTGGTCATGGTGTCTCTTCATGCCAATAGAACAGTGACTGAGACAGTGAGTTTATTATCTTATGGCTTGATGAGACACCCTAAATAAATGAGTTTT